TGGTGTTCATATTAAATGGTACTTCTGACTCGGAGTCTCTCACCGGTTTGCTTTTCAAACCAGCACAAATTAGCAGTCAAATTTTGCTTGGCAGTGCCAAAAAAACCGTTCAGACTTCAATAGCTTTTATCATGCATAGGATTTAATGACAATATTGCTCTCTGTTACATATGGGTGGAGTAATTCTTTTACCACTACATCGTGGACACTTAGGGAATAAAGTCCATCAGGTTTTAAGCTGTACACTGCAGCCTCACTTAAGAAATTTGAGTCAGGAAATGATGAATACCTTCTTCTGTGCATACAAAAGAGAATTTGAAATAGGCAGAATGCAATTACTTTGATGGAAAGTGCAGTGGGCTTTGATATGGTCACAGGCTGAGCTTCAGTTTAGGTGTAGAGAGAAAAAAATGTACCTGCCCCATATTTTTTAATTATTCTGTTTAAATTCTGGCAGCTAAAGGCAGCTGAATTGTCTCAGTTTGTTCTTTTGGGATAAAATGGGTAAAGGTGTCCGTTTAAAACATGGTTTTGATGTACTTACAGCTTCTTAACCTTACCAAAAACCATGCAGGGATTTTTTAGCACCACACCTGAGATCAGGAATTTGGGAAGGTTTCAGTTAGGACCAGTGGCAGTGTGGAACCTGAGGATGTGTGATGCTGATTCCCCATGTGCCAGCTAAACTGGAGGCTAAAGGTCACCTCTGCTCATGCAGCCCCTTGGCTGGGCAAGGTGAGAGAAACCATTTTAAAAGTTATCTCAGGTGTCACCAGTGATGGATTGGAGAGAAGGAGAAAAGCAAACGGATGGAGAAGTCCCTTTTGATAAAGAAGTAGTGATACAAAGTCATCTCAGGCTGCTGCTGGGATAGTTCACCTCAAAACCTCCACTGAGGGTACAGGAAGCCTCTGAAAGCAAAGAACATTAATGTAGCAGAGAAACTAATACATGACAAAGTTGTTTGCCTTGTGATAGTTCTGCCTCAATAGCTATTAATTTGAATTTAGGACTATTATCTTCCAGGCTAATCTTGTTATATAAAAAATACAGATAATTTTGAAATACGAGTCAATCATGTTACTTTTGCATGGTTTATTAGAATGCTTATTCTGGAAGGGAGAAGTGAAGCTCTATTAATGAGTGCTTTAAAATGTCTTCATTTCAGTAATGCTTATGTGAGTTTTCTCATCCTTTATTTTT